CCGATGTTCTGGTGGGGGGGATCGGCCTCTAGCAGCCAGGTAGTATCCGACAGATGGATAGTCAGGCCATCTTGGTGCAGAAGAGTACTGGGAATGGTACCAGTCGTCAGAACGAGCTTCAGAAGACCAGCTCCTCCGGCTTCTCAGCGGGGATAACCCGGTTCCAGGATCAAGCCCAACAGGCGGCATAGGTGTTGGGGACCGAGCCCTAGGCAGAGAGTCTTGAATCTTGCCATCAGAGATCGAACTGCAAGGTGGATCCTGGTGTAGTTCCGATCCCATACGGCACAGAGAGGCTGGAGGAGTAACTCTCATCGCCGCCTGAATGGTCGGACCCAAAGGCGTTGGTACAGGGATCGCAGTTGGAACCGAGGAAGCCGCCAAACCTGAGTGTCGGTGTTTCGAATGCTCGGGTTTCTTCGGGTGTTTTGGCAGTTTTTCAAACTTATCCCTTTTGGCCTTCTTGTGCACAAGCGGCTTCTCAGGGCCACTGTGTTTCCTCTTTTCCCGCTGTTTCTTGGGTGGGGAAACAGGCTGCTCTCCCATGGCAGAAGCACCCTCGCCTGAAGGGCATGAGGGCGGAGCAACAGAGGAAGGGGCCGGACACTGCGGCGGATCGGCTGAAGACGGACGGCGGTCAGGTGGGGCCGAGGTTGTAGCAGGCTTAGCCACCAGCCGGTCCGATTGTAGGAGGGCCTGATCCCACAGGAGCTTACGTAAAGAGTTCTCCCTGTTCTTCCTGGCCTGTTTAGAGAAGGCCAGACAATGGCCGCACTTGTCCGTCCTGTGGCCCTCCCCTAAACAGAGGAGGCACAGGTCGTGAGGGTCTGCAGCGGGCATTTTAGAGCCACACTCTCCGCACTTGCGGAACGCCGCTTGTTGAGCCATCACGGAAAAAGAAAGAAATAGAGGATAGTATAGCGGGAACAGATAATATTTGTGTGTGTGTGTGTGTGTGTGTGTGTGTGTGTGTGTTTTTATAGGAACGAGAAACATGAGGAACAAGAAAAAATGAAGAGAGTAACTGGAACAGTAAGATTAAGGTATGGTGGGAATACTAACTTGGAAAAAAGAGAAAGAGTTTGAAACAAGAGAGCACGAGGAATGATCTAAGTGAGAGCGAAGCGGCACGAGGCACAACGAACGGTGGTTGCAAAGACTGGAAAATGGCAGACACTCCGCTAAATATATACTGCTAGGGGGGAAGGGGAGCGAAGTTTTCCCGCCAAACCGTTAGCTATCAATCTTCCGGCCAAGGGCACTGTGCAGGCACAGAACCCATGTGTGTGATGCACAGAGCCCATGACAAAGGACTTGCACTTATCCACATTGAACGCCATCCTGTTGTCTCCTGCCCACTTCCATAGGCTGTCCAGATCCTCTTGGATCTGGAGTACCTGCTCCACAGTTGTGGCCACTGCTCCAGTTTTAGTGTCGTCTGCGAATTTGATCAGCAGACTGTTCACCCCTTCTTCCATGTCATTTATGAAAAGCTTAAACAGGATCGGCCCCAGGACAGAGCCCTGGGGGACCCCGCTTGTCACTGGCCACCATCCCGATGATTCCCTGCTAATGGTTACCTTCTGCTTTTGGTCAGTCAACCATGCCCTAGTCCACCAGACAGTGCTTTGGTGTATCCCAAAACTCCTCAGTTTCTCCACCAGGATATCATGGGGCACTTTGTCAAAGGCCTTGCTGAAATCTAGGTATACCACATCCACTGCATCCCCTCCATACAGCCATCTCGGAACCTTGTCATAGAATTCCACAAGGTTTGTCTGGCAGGACCTGTTTTTGCGGAAGCCGAGTTGTGCGGCTGTCAGCCTCCCATCCCTATCTAGCATCACTAGATCTCTCTCTATTATGAGCCTTTCCAGTGTTTTTCCTACAATGGACGTAAGGCTAACCGGTCTATAATCCCCCATGTCCCTTCTACTACCCTTTTTGAAAATTGGGACCACTGATGCCACCCTCCAGTCCTCTGGAACTTTACCCGTTCTCCACGAGGCCTCAAAAATGGAGGCCAGCAGGCGTGAGGGAACCCCTGCCAACTCTCTAAGTACTCTCGGGTGTAACCTGTCAGGGCCTGGCGCCTTTGTAATGTCCAATGCCCTGAGGAGCCCCTCGACTTCAAGAGGGGTGACTCTAATCTGTGCCCCTAAGTCCCCAGACTCATCTAATCTCCTATGCGGATATCCCCCATCCTGCTTTGGAAAGAGCACAGAGGCAAAATAGTCATTTAGCATCTGTGCCTGTATATCAGTCACTGGATCTCCTTCCTCCTTATTTAGTGGTCCTACCACTTGTCTCACCTTCCTCTTCCTATTTACATGCTGAAAGAAGCCCTTTTTGTTGCTCTTGATATTCTTAGCAAATCTCAGCTCGTAATCAGCCTTAGCCTTGCGAAGAATCCTTCTGCAATGGGCCTCCTCCTCCCAGTATAGAGTAGAAGTGGCTTCTACAGAGCATAGAGATGATCGGAAAACGAAAAAGGGCACGCACAGGAAGTGGAATGAAGGCCAGGTTACAAAGGCAGAATACAGGCAGATAGAATGAAATTGCAGGGAAGGTGTCAGGAAGGCTAAAGCTAGGAATGAACTGAGGCTAGTGAGGGATGCTAAAAGCAACAGAAAAGCCTTCCTCAGAAATGTCCAAAGAAAGAAAGAAATGGGGGCTCAACTACAATGTGGGTGGCATAATGAGAGCAGATGACAGAGAAAAGGCAGACACGCTCAATTCCTACTTTGACTCGGTCTTCTTTCAAAAGATCTATGACCTTTCTGATGAAGGGGAAGTACAAGCAAAGGAGCAGAATGGCAGCTTGAGAGGGGCAGGCAAATGGTCAAGCAACAACTGATTGGGTTGACTGAGTTCAAATCTCCAGGGTACAATGAACCCCATTCTAGAGTCAGAGAGATGCTGGAGGAAGCACTCTCAGAACCACTGTCTACTATCTTTGTGAAATCATGGAGGACAGGAGAAGTCCCAGATGAATGGAGAAGGACTAATGTCCCTATCTTCAAGAAAGTTTAAAAAAATACCCAGAGAACTAAGGAGCAGTCAGTCTGACATCAATCCTTAGGAAAATGCAGGTTATAAAGCTGTCAGTCTGCAAATACCTTGAAAATAATGCAGTGATGGATGAAGCCACTGTGGATTTCTCAAGAACGAATCCTACCAGAATGAGCTGCTTTCATTTTCTGATTGGGTAGCCTTCCTGATAGACTATGGGAATGCTGTGGACATAATCTAACTTGACTTCAGCTTTTGATAAAGTGCTCAATGATACCCTGATTAGCAAACTAGCTCAAAGTGGGCTAGATGGAACAAGGATCAGGTGGATCCACAGTTGGCTACAGAATTGGACTCAAAGAATGCTCATCAGAGGCGCCATCCCAAACTGGGGAGAGGTAACAAGCGGGGTCCTGCAGGGTTCAGTCATGGACCTAGTGCTCTTCAACATTTTCATCAATAACTTGAATGAGGAAACACAGGGAACAAATATCAAATGTACAAATGACACAAAACTAGGTCTGTTAGCTAATACCCTGGAAGAAAGAATATTCACAGTGATCTTGACAGATTGGAGCACTGGCCTGAAAACAATAGAATGAAATTCAGCAGGGACAATACCACGTTCTGCACCAAGGAAAAAGAAACCAATTGCATTGTTACAAGATGGGGAGTGCAAGGCTCAACAATGCTGCCAGTGAAAAGGAACATGGGATTTTTGTAGAAAACAAGCTGAGTATGAGTCAACAATGTGATGTGACTGCAAAAAAGGGCAAGTGCTATTTTAGGCTGCATTTCACTTTAGGCATAGAAATTTAGGCACGGAAATTTGACTTCCAAATCACATGAAGTACTAGTTCTACTTTACTCAGTACTGGTTAGGCCTCATCTGGAGTCCTGCATCCAGTTCTGGGCACCAAAGGCTCAAAAAGATGTAGACAAACTGGAAAGGTTTCAAAGGAGGGCAACAACGATGATCTGGAGACTGGAAACGAAGCTTTGTGGAGAGAGACTGAAATAATTGGGCATGTTAATCCTTGAGAAGACTGAGGGGAGATAGGATAGTGCTCTACAAGTATTTGAAAGGCTGTAACAAAGGACAGGATCTCTTCCCAATTATCCCTGAGTTCAGGACACAAAATAATAAGCTCAAGTTACAGGAAGCCAGATTCCAGCTAGATATCGGGAAAAATTTCCTGACTGTTAGAGCAGTATGACAATGGAATCAACTAGCTAGAGTGGTTGTGGGCCCTCTCCACTAGAGGCAGTCTAGCTGCAACTGGACAGCCATCTGAGAGGGATGGTTTACCTCAGTGCCCTGCACTGAGCAAGAGACTGGACCTAACAGCCTTCTGGCCCCTTCTACTATTCTACGATTCTATATGAAACTGGAGCTCTCTGCAATACTCAATTCATCTGACAAAGTAGTCTGTAGTCTGTAACAGCTTATGCCAGAATAAATTTGTTAGTCCTCAAGGTCCACAAGACTTTGCTCTTTTTGCTTTTGCTGTGATACACTAACCTCTTCTGCAATGTAAAAGTTTTCTTAAATATTTCAAGAGGATATGGCAACAACAAGACTGCATAATTGTGGCTCATACATATTAGCTTAGCTGGGTAACCATTTCCCCAACTCTGCAGCTCCCAAGGGCTTGCATGCCCTCCCAAGCTCTCCCTTCTTCATGTGCCACTCACCTGACAGAGATGGTTCATGCCCTCCCCCACCATTGCCCCCTTCCCACACATGCTTAAATCTGCAACCACTCTAGCATTTTGCGCAGTCCCTGCGCCTCCTGAGGGAGTCGTGTCTGTCCAATTCAGGATCTGCCTCTCTGATGGACTGCACTATGGAGTACAGAGCGCCCTCCCAGGGATGGTGTCTCTGTGTGGCAGGCTGACACGGTGCTCTGCTGGGCACACTGTGCCAGTCATTGGCTGTAACAGGCATGCCAGAGCTCACCAAGCTTCTTCCGTGGGGAGTCACTTACCATGGAGAGCGCCTCGTGTGTCTGATGCAGCAGCGGTTCAGGCAGCAGAGAGATGTGGATGCACTCGGGGACAGTTACAGTTCCACCATCCAGGTCTGCTATGATCACATCCAACTGGAAGAAGCAATGTTGCCATGGCAAAGTCCACAAATCCGAATGCCAACCATTTGCCCCTCGGCCCAACCAAACTTTGGTACGCGGGTGCCCCCCATGATCCAGTAACTGAGCACAGCATGAAAAGCTGCCCCTCCCTCTCCCTCAGTGGGGAGGACCAGAAGTGGGAAGAGCCGGCTCCCTTGGCACCCGTCACTTTGCGGAGCCTGGAGTGCCTCGGAGTGGCGGTTTCTACAGAGCGCAACTCTGGAGTCCCTTTCACAATCCTGACTTCCTGCCCTGGGAAAGAGGAGGAACAGAGAGCTAGCTCTATGCATGCACACCACAGCATGCGCGTGCACGAGGCACGGCTGTGAGGAAGGACATGTGGCTGGATGCCCCCCAGCAACTGGCACAGAGAGGCATGCCGCCACCCTGACCAGTAGCCACTAATCGCTTTCTTCCCACTTGAGCTAATTCCCTAGTAAATCCCTTCCGGTTGGCAGTCAGCAGCATGTCTTCTGGTAGTGCTATCCATAGGTAAGCCCCATGCTTTTCTTTGTCTGTTCTGAATTTCCAGGTGTTTCTTTTCATGCAACGACCCCTCACCCATGCTCTAATATTATGAGGGAAGGAGAAGAATGCACCTGTATCTACTTCCTCTGCACCCGACATAATTGGATATACTCCTTCATGTTAGAAACATAGAAGCAAAGCAAGTCAGAAGGGGTCTCTTGGGCTATCTAGTCTGACCCCCAGCCCACTCCACTCATGTAATCCCCAACATGCAGTTGTCCAATCTTTCCTTGAACACCCTCACTGATGTGCCATCCATCACCTCCCTTGAAAACCCATTCCATATCCTAAGGGTCCTAACCATCAGGAAGCTTTGTCCCACTGGAACACGTCCTGCCCTCCACTGCAGAAAAGAACAGGGCCCGGCCTTCCACCACATGACATCCCCTCACACACCTACCCATTGCTAAAAGATCCCCTCCAACGGCAGAGCAATGGGGAGGGAATGACACTCCTCACTCCATCAGGCTGCAAGCACAGCTGCGTTACCAATTTTCACAGCCAGCTTCCACCACTCAGTTCCTATTTGAAGGCCCAGCTTGTATCAGGCTGCTAATGTTAAACTTGCCCTGGGACTCACCAGCTCCTGGGTCTCCGATTGGAATGCAGAGCTGACACCAATGATGAAAGGTGTAGGTGTGCTGAGGACTTCCAGGAGTTGAGCAGGCAAGATGGGCACATATGTAAAGCTGTAACCAAGAAACCAACAATGCAGATGTCTTAAAGAGCTCTCCCACTGCTCAGCACAGAGGATGCCCCCCTGCCTGCCTTCTTCGGCCCAGGGGACTCCCCTTGTACAAGCAACAGGAGGCCAGGGCAGAGCTCCAACAGAGACTGTCCCAACACCTGCTGCTCATGACATCACTCACTCACCTGTACTTCAAGGGGAACATGAGGGCAAGTAGACCCCGACAGGCATCAGTCAGTCTCTGATAGCTGCTGGACAGAAACAGGATCTTGTGCTCCGTGAGGGCCGCACAAAAGAGACACAGCACATTTGTAATCCCTGGAGAAAGGGAGGGGAGAATTTTAGAAGGCCAAACAATGCAACTCTTCTCTACTCACAGCTGGCTGGCCATTTCCACAGCCAATGCCCAATGAGAAGCCTTCTTCTCTCTTACTAGAGCCCTCTGCTCTTTTTACCCACAGAGGCTGAAACATCAGCTTTATGAGTGCCAAGGTCCTCTAGCCTCACTCTTCTTCAACTAGATGAGGGACTTTTCTGGGAGCTTCTAGATTTCAGAGGAAGAAAGGCAAAGAGCAAGGACAGGCCTGAGCCAGGGCTCTCACCAAGCTGCCGGAAGAGGAGTGCCACGCTGCAGTTGCTGATGGGAAGGGAGTCATTAATGGGTGTTTGGATCACCTGCCTGTCGCCTGCGCCCAGAGAGATTGTCCTCTGAAAGAGACAAGTGACAAGCCCAACAGGTAGGAGTCAATCATGGATGCCCACCCAAAGCAGAGAAAGCAGATGCTCTGGAGCTGACTCCCAGAGAAGAAGCCCTTTTCCTTCCCTGGGAAGACAGTCTAGTAGAACTCAAGCAGAACTTTCAAGCTGCAGCAGGCAGCGTCTTTTGCCAGCTGGAGGCACAATGGAACATTTCTGCCTCTTATGACGACCACCTGCTGCATGACCCCGCTGCACAATAAAGCCCCCCACTGCTTGGCCAACAGAGCCCTCACACCGAGGGCACAGACAGACGGACGGACGGACACACGCATCTGCACACACGCACATCTCACACAGTCACTGGGTGTCTCTGGACACTGCGGCAGCAGCCGCTTCTGCCTTCTTTGTCTGACAGCTGAAGCACTCTTTGCCAGGCAGGCTGGTCAGGAAGCCAGCGCAGGCTTTGCCGCAGCCTCTCCCAGGCCTCAAGCACACAGTGGCCCAGCCCTCCTTGCCTTTCTTTCTGTCTTTCTGTCTTTCTTTCTTTCGCTTGCTCACTCCCTGCCTAACTCATGGGCATCACTGCACACAGAGTCAGGTGTGGAGCTGCACATGTGGTGCCTCTGAGAATGACACCAAGCAAGACTCTCAAGCCCCCAACAGCCTCCTCCTGCAGAAGGAGGCAGCCCCGAGGAGAGAAAAGTTGTGCATACCGCTCCTTCGTCCTCCATGTCAGGCTGAGATAGAGACAGACAGAAACAGCACAATCAATTAGAAACACAGTGCAGCACGGACAGGCAGCCGGGCAGGAGAGAGGCAAGCACACACAGCGGGACAGAGCAAGGCAACAGGACAAACGGGAGGCCTTTGGAGGTACCACAGAGAAACAAGTGGAGGCAGCTAGCTTGCCAGCCTGCACCCCCTGCCCCAAGAACGGGAGATCCACAGAGCTCAGACAATTCCACCAGTGTGTTCCCAGCATGACTCCATCTCCCCACTCACGTGGGGTGGCCAAAAAGGGGCCCAGATCCTTGCCAGACTGCTTCACGCCCCAGAAAAGGCAAAGAGGACATGGACAAGCTAGCGAGTCAAGCCCACCCGTTCCAGAGACCATCTGATGAAGCTGCTGGAAACGCACCACCATTCTTGCCCAGGTATCCTTTGCCTGAGACCTCACGTCAGACACCTGGGCAGCACAACACCCAGCCAAGCAGAGGAAGGCTGCTTGTTCCTGGGCAAAGCCAGCCTGCAAAAAGCCAGCCAGCCAGCCAGCCAGCCAGCTCCACTGCCTTCTGCTTTTAGCTGCAGCTCTCCACTTAGCGCTCAATACTTTCGCATCCAAGTAATGCCAGCCACAGGGACTGCAGGGAGGGGCATGCTTGGGGGAAGGAGAATAGAAGACTTCCTCACCTCCTCCCACCCGTAAGACCCGCAAGACGCCACCTCCTCCATGGACAGCCCGACTGAAATGCAGGGTAGAAGCTGAACCTACCTGAGCACCCCCAGTGATGGGGATGGTACAAGTGAGGAGGTTCCCAATGACGGTTTCCAGGGAGGTGCTCAGTCCGTCTACATAAATAGTATAGATCAACCCCAGGCAGTTCTGTGAGAGAAACAAGAGCGGTTGTGGTGATTCAGGTGGGGCCATTTGCGAGACTCCAGGCAGAAAGCAGCAGCAGCACCCTGAGAGCAGAACATGCAAGCTGAAAAAGGGGCTGGTCCCACTGGGAGCTCCGTGTCCCTGACTTGGGACGCCAGCTTCTTCCCACCATGAGCGGGGAAGACAGGGAATCATGGAACAGTGGAGCTGCAAGGGGCCCATACAGGCAATCAAGTCCAGCTCCCTGCTCAGTGCAGGACTCTGACACATGGCTGTCCAGCTCCCTTTGGAATGACTGCGGCGTGGGAGAGCCCACAGCCTCCCCAGGCCATTGGTTCCAGCACCATCCCGCTCTAGCAGTCAGGAAGACTTGCCTGAAAGTGGCTTCCAGTAACTTGAGACCATGATTCCATGTCCTGCACTCCGGGATGATCAAGAAAGGGCCCTCCCTCCTGGTCTTCCTCTGTGTGACAAGCACTTGAACAGTGCTAGCATATATCCTTTCCCTGAGGCTAAACATCTCCAGCGCTTTCCATTTCTTTTAATGCGGCTTTGTTTCCGGTCCCCTGATCAACTTTGTTGCCCACCTCTAAACTTTTTCCAGCTTCTCTCATCTTTCTTAAGCCATGGTGTCCGCAAGTGGATGCAGTACTTGAGATGTGGCTTAACTACTGCCAAATAGACCAGCACCTCACACGATTTGGAAGCGATATTCTGTGTAACACACCCCAGTGTAGCATTAGTGGGTTTTTTTGTTTTTTTGCTGCCACAACACATTGTTGACTCATATTCAACCTGTGATCCAAGGTTTTTCTCACTGGTAGTATCTCGCATTTTGTAACTGGGCCTTTGGTTCCCTTTTCCTAGGTATAGATCTTGGTATTTGTCCCTACTGAATTTCATTCCGTTGCCTTCAGGCCAGTGCTGCAGCTTTTCAAGATCACTTGACTTCTGTTCCTGTCTTCCAGGGTATTAGCTATCCCACCCAATTTTGTGTAAGCATGCCTTGCACTTCTTTGCCCAAGTCATTAATAAAAACATGGAAGAGCACTGGCTGCAGGATTGAACCTTGCAATACCCCCACATTCCCTTTCCCCAGTCTGAGAGGTGCCGGTGAGAAGCACTTTCTCTGTCTGATTCTGCAGCCGACTGTGAATCCACCTGGTAGCTGTTCCATCTAGCCCACTTTTAACTAGTCTGCCCAAACCCTTACTCTTCAATGCAGTTCATCAGGCCCTGGAGAGCTGAACTCATTCAAAGAAATTAGGTGATCCTTGACTGTTTATTAATTTCAAGCTTCAGTTTGGACCCTTTGGTTCATACTTCATTTCTCCCAGTGGGGTCATAGATCTGCTTTTGCAAAAAGGCTGAGCCAAAGCAGAAATTGAGCTCTGGGAGTCATCTGTCACCAGTTTGCCCTCCTCACTGAGAAGCTGCACCATCATTTCTTTTCCCTGTTGGTTACTGTGAACACACTTGAAAAAGCCTTTTTGCCTTTTGGTGTCTCTTGCAAGCCTCAGCTTGTTCCCAGCTTTAGCCTTCTTATGCCATTCCTGTACTTCTGTGCCAACTGTCTGTACTCTTCTTTTGTAATGTGCCCTTCCTTCCACTTCCTGTACAAGTCCTGTTTTGTTTTACCTCGACTCAAAGGTTTCTGTAGAGCCACATTGGTTTGTTCTGTCTGTTATCTTGTTTCTGTTGCAATTGTCTGTAACTGTGCCTTTAAAATTTCCTTTTCAAAAAAACTTCCACCCATCTTGGACTCCTTTTTTCCTCAGGGTCCCTTGTCATGGGACCTTAGTTATCATTGTCCTGCATTCATTCAAATCAGGTATTCAAAGATAGGCTGGACGTGCACATGGTGGGCATGTCGTGAGTGGAGCCAGCTGGTGCCGGAGGTCAGACTAGACGGCCCGGGAGGCCCCTTCTCACTCGCTCTGTTTCTATGTTTCTGTATTTCCCAAAATGCAGAGTATGTGTATGACTGTGCTCCACTGAAGGGAGCATGGCGTATATTTACACTGGCAAGATAAAACAGGGAACCACTGGAGAGCTTTAGAAAAAGGGGGGGGTGCAGGAAAGCTTGTGCTTCCTTGCTCTGCTAGATGGCGATGCGGGCCAGGCGAGGGGAATGGAATGAGATGCCTGAGCAGGAAATTGTCCAGAGATCAGGCGGTGTTTCATCACACAGATGCAGGCATCTAGGCTCAAGCCAGACACCCCTTTCCTGTCACCAGTAGTTGTAGGGGCTCCTGCAGCACCAAGCAGCCAACAAAAAAGCACTAAAGCTGTTTCCAGTCTTATAACCCAGAAAAGCAAGTTGGGCAAAAGCAGGCAGATATTCCTTCTTTTGGCCCATAATGCAGGTTCTGTTGCTGCAGAACAAAGACAAAATAAGAAGCCTCGGGTGGGTGGTAATTTAGGGTCCCTTTCAGCTCTCATTTAAGGGGTGGGGGAATGTTTAGTAAATCAGCAGGGAAAATGTGTCCTTAACAAAACAAAAGGACAGTTTGCTTGGGGGTGCTTGTGTCCTAGAGGCCTCTTCCTGCTCTGATCCTACAACCAGGGCAGCTGGCCAGTGCCATCACTCTGATTCAGAGCGCAACCTGGGGATGGCAGGAAGCAAGACTGGTGTTCTATCAGGAAGCTGAAGACCTAAAAACAGATGAACCAAACAAAAATGGGCAGGGGGGACACCAACATAATAACATCACAAATGATAGTGCAAATGTTTCAAGAATTTAAGTGCCCCAAGCGTATGAAATGTGATAACCAAAGAAGGATTCCCACTGGGAGGAATGCCCACATCACACACGGGAGGCTGACATCCTGAGCACTTTAGATTCAAAGGTAAAGTGGTCTATCCTGCCAGAAACCATCACTGACATTTCATGTAGGAAAAAGAAGCACCCTATGTTTTCTCTGTTCTCCCAAAAGCTAACACATGAGCTGTGTCCTCTATGGGCTCTGCTAGGTATGGTATGGTATGGTATGGAAATGAATAATGCACAACAGGTAGAGCGGTATCTTCCCAGTGTCCAAATGGCCGAACAGCATTTTGGGGCCATGCCACAGCCTTCAGGCTGCCAGCCGGTTAGAGAGAACACCGGGGAGAATTGCCCTGCTGCTGCCTTCTGCAAACATCCTGCAGAAAAGAGCTGCCTTTGGGGTGCAAAAAGAACTGCCTGATTTGCTGAAGCAACTTCATCCCCCTCTCCCAGGAAAGGCAGCCACAGCCCTATGTGTGCACCGGCGGACCACAAGGTTGGGGAACCTATCGGGATGGATACTGATGGTTTCCAGAAAACTGCCTCCTAAAGAGGGGAGGGTGGAAGCAAACAGGAGAAGAGCCTTCTCAGTGATTGCACTCCATTTATGGAATATGCTTCCCAGAAAAGTATCCCCAGCACCCCCGTTGTTATCTTTCTGGCACCAGGCAAAGATGCTTTTATTTACCAAACATTTTAAGAACTGTTGAATGAATATTGTATATTTTTTAGAATTTTAATTATTGTTTTTATCACTGCTATACCTGAGGTAATTTTACTGTTGCAGTTGTCTGCTAGATGGTATTGTATTTGTATAGTATTTTATTGTGTATTTTTATTGTATTAATTGAATGATTGTTTTTATTCATTTTGGATTGTATGCCACCCCAAAAGCCCTGAAGGGCTATGGGGGAAGCACAGAAATGTAAAAAAATAGAGTATGTAAATTACTGGGAGGTAGGAGCTTTGCAGCATCCACGGCGAGAGGCGCTGTTGTCGGTCCTCAGCCTGGGCAGAGGTACTGATGTCCTGCTGACCCAAACAACTTTGGGTGCCTATGGAGCATCTCCGGCCCACCCAGGGAACCAACGCAGCCACAGGTAAGTGGAGTGCATCCATTTCTGGCTTGCTTCTATTCCGCATCCATATTCCATCACTGCATTCAATAGGCGGCATCTCATCCGTGAAGCAGGTGGCTTCGCTTCATCTTGGTGTGTCCCTCCAAGCTAAGGTGAGGTGCCGTGGCCCATGCTGGACCGAGCATCTGAAATTTAGGCATGGTGTAGCCAAGAATCATATTCAGCCTCTGGGCAAACCTGCTGTATAAATTAATGGTGCACTTAAGAAGCTGTTTCAGGCAGGGTTTTTCAGCTGTCCACAGCTGAGGGGCTGGCGGCACCAGACTCGCCCTCCATAATGACCCAACTCACGGAGTGGCCACTTCAAGTGCAGCCAGGACAGCCTCTCCGAAGGCATGCTCGGCAAGCTTCAGCAGTCCTAGAGAAGCTTGACCTTCTGCTCACTAAACAGCACAGCTGAAAGCAAGCAAGGTTGAGGTGGCAGTGGCCACGGCCGCCTCCAGGAGGTCACATTTGCGCTGGCAAGGCAGAGTGGCCAACTTCTAGCCACCTGCAGGCAGGGGCTTCAGCAGAAACTGTCCTTCCTCCCCACCCTCCCTTGCCTGCAGCTCACCCGGAAAACCTCTGCATGGTCCAGGCGAGACACAAGCACCAAGCTCTTCGGGGCAAAGAGCTGCGCTGGCTGGACAGGCGCTGCCACCTCCTCCACCGCCGCCTCCTCCTTCCTCAGATGATTCTGAAGCTGCAGCAAGAGAAAGGGTCCCAGTGTTCATGGCACAGTTATGCAGCCCAGGCTGACGCCAGGAAGGGGCCCATGGGAAAGGACCGGGGGGTGGGCTTGGGGGGACCTTCCCTGGAGGGTGCAGTTTGTCATTGTGCACCACTCTGCAGCCAGTGCCCGAGCAGGGCTGGTAAAAGATGCAGGAGAGAACGCCTGCTGTCTCCCTTACCTGGGTGCTTTCCAGAGCCTCCCAGAAAGTAAAGCAGGCACAGTAATGCCGCTCTGAGTTGATATCGGTCAGGACAGCGATGAAGAAGGTGGGAGGGTTTCTCTCGCTGAAGAGCTGCCATCCACTTGGCTGGCAAAACTGCAAAACAACAGGCAGAAAGGCGGCTGTCACACGGCGCAGGGCACCTTGCCTCCCAGTTTCTGCTGGAGTTCCAAACCTGCTGTCAGGGAGAGCAGAGCCCTTGGAACTACCATCTACCTCCAACCCAGGGGTGGCGAGGCACCAGACTTCCTCGCTTAGCCCACAGCAAGGAGGAAGGTGGCTGAGCTGGAAAAGTCTCCTGGGTGTTCTCAACAGCCAATGGGCCTGCCACTCACTCCAATGAGAAGAGATCCACCCACCAGAGCCCCACCCAGGCCATCAGGCAAGAGAAACTGGGACCATGCACTGGAGGTCTGCCCCCTTCCTGCAGAACGCCCAAAAGTCACTGGACCCAGTTCACAGCCAAATGTTCCAGTCTCACTGCACTATATTGGTGTCCTGCTGCCCTGGCCAAGGGCTCTCCTTCACGTCCTGTCCCAGGTGTCTTGGCTGACTGAAGGGGCCCAGGACCTCAAGGAAATGGCCCAGGCTGTGAGGAAGGAAGAGATGGACGAGGGACAAATCCTGATGTCCATCTACTGTGCACAGCTGGCTGGAGGCCCAAAATGACGCCCTTCCTTTAAAACAATCCAACCCCTGCTTCCCTTCCCACCAATAAAAAAAGGAGGGTGGCACTGAACTTTGGTGGCAAACCAACAGAGAGGCTTACAGCAAACAAACATAGCTTTAAAATGAGCTGACTGTGTAAGTTCTAAGCCTTGGTAGCAGCTGCGGTGACATCAGAGACATGCATCTGTTTTCAAGCTAAACGTTTGTTTCAAGCCTCTGTTGTGGTTTGCCACAGAATTTCTGGGGCAAACGACTGGTTTCCATACCCGCTTTGCCAGTGGTCGCAGAAGCGTGGTCCTCAGTAAGTTAGAGAAGGGGGTCTGGCTCCTGGAAGGCTTGAAGCTGTCTTCTCTGCTGTAGGTTATCTAACTCTGGCCTCCTTAGCTGGCCACAAATCCTGGGAACCCTCCAGCTAAGGCAGCAAGAGGGGATGCAGCGGAGCAAACCAACCCTGACCAAGACCCAGGGTCCAACCCATGCCTCCAGCTAGCCAAGGAAGAAGGGAGACTGAGAGGGCCAGAAGTCTGCAATTTCCCCACACATAAAGGCCCCCTCCTTTTAAAAACTTCCCTGTCTGAATGGATGTAGGGTATGAATGGGATGCTGCACCTTCCTAGCTTTCCACTTTCACCCGGAAGTTGAGGGGCGTCTCCTTCCAAATTTGACCGGTATGTTAACTCTTCAGGCAGCATAAGAACATGCCAAGCTCAACCATTCTTCTTAAGCGCCATGAGCCAACTCAGCCTGAATGAACACGGCCTCTAAAAGGCAATGCCCAAAATTCCACTGTTCCAAGTGCACTAACAAGTCCCCATTTACTATTTATTCATGTAGTTATGTATTGATTTAAACAAATGTTACAGCATTAGCAATCTCTTTTGGATTTCAGGGTGATGCACATAATTCAATGTAACAAAATACAATGTAAATACTGAATAAAATCCCTGAAAATCAACTTAAAAGACATTGGTGAACAAAAATGTTTTTGTTTGGGACTTAAAAGATTCAAATGTTTGACCTTCTTTGAGTAGGATGTTCCGGAACCTGAGCTGGATGTTCCATTCCACCACTGAAAAACATCCCCCATTGTTGCTGAATATTATAAAGACAAAACCTGAAGGAGGGCTTCCCCAGAGGATCTCAACACAAAGGCATCTTGACATGTGAAGAGGAGCCTGTTTAGAACCCAAGCCCTTGAAGACTTTAAAATAGCAACACCTTGAACTAGGCCCAAAAACAAGAAGGAAGCCAGTGGAGTTGTCCAAAAGTGGGTGATCTAAGCATGGACCTACCCATACCAGCCAACAATCCAGTAGCCACGCTCCATTCTTCAAGGGAAGTTACCAAAGCATAAATTGGTGTAGCCTGATTATCCCTGCCCAAAAACAGCGGCAGCTGACAAATCATGCTACTAAAACCATCTGGCCTCTAGTGACAAAGCTGCATCTTGGGGTACACCCAAAGTATCCTTTTCAAGGAAATGCAGTCCCATCCAAAGCAGAGCAGCCACCCCTTTCCTGGACCCATGAACCATCTACTCCCAGAATCAGGATTCAGCCTCAGTTTATTAGCTCTCATTCAGTCGGTTAGTACATCCTGACACTAGTTTAGCAGTTTTATGTGCAACCTCATCTGAGAAGAGGAGGACAGGCAGATCTGAGCATCTTCAGAGTAGCAATGGCACTTCATTCCAAATCCCCAAAGAATTTCTTCCAGGTGCTTTATGAAGCAGTGAGACAAGGACAAGATGGAGCCACTGGATCAAGGACCAGTCACCACAGTATAACCACCTGGAATCAGCCTTGCAGGCCAGAGCAGACCCACCATATTCCTGCCACAGTCTGCACTCTTCGGACAGAGGCTGTCCATCAGGGTAGCCAAGGGTGTTGTAGTGTCAAACCCAGGCCGCATGCCAGTCTGAAATCAACCTAGATAATCCATTTCATCCTAGAGTGTCTCAAATTAAGCTCCCTCTTTGCACAAAAGTGGAGTATTTGGAGTGTGCTCTCAGGCCCTGATCCTGGCAGCTGGCATGCATGGCTGCTACAAATGGTCATCAGTGGGGAGAGGAGATGAACCCCAACCTCAAGCATGGATTGTAACCAACAAAGAAAGCCGTCCAGATGCAGGTGAAAAAGAACCAGGGAAAGGTGGAACTCATCCCATTATCAGTGAAATATGCTTTGACTGAAAGCTCTAACAATCTGCTTATGAATCAAAGCCTATGAGCCAGCTGCAATGGAGCCCTAGATCCAAAGTGCAGAATGCAACCAGGCTGCAGCCTAAACCAGTCCTCATTTCACTTTCTCCTCCAGGTGGAATCCTTGCTGCAGACTTCGGCTAACGCACCACCACAGAAACAGGAAAGGGGGGTTATGCTGAGCATGACATCTGAAAACAGAGTGGTTGCCTTCTTTGTGAACAAACTGAGTTGATCGTGGAATTCATCCTTTAGGTCAGTTAACAGGATCGGAACACTTACTTGTTACAATTTTCGGTGTTGCAGCTTAGATCTCACTTTCCATCAGTGACAACCTTTCAAATACTTGAACACCGCTACCATATCTACCCTCCATTTTCTTTTCTCCAGGATAAACATGCCTGGTCCTGCCAATCTCTCTTCACAGAGCTTTGTTTCCAGTCCCCTGACCACCTTTGTTGCCCTTCGTTGAACCCTTTCCAGCTTCTCTGCGTCTTTCTTAAATTGTGGTGCCCACAACTGGATGCAATTAAGCCTCCGGATGAGGCTTAACTAGTGCGGAGTAGCAGGGAACTAGTACTTCACATGATTTTGAAGTGATAGTTATGTTAACACAGCTCAAAACAGAATTTGCATTTTTTGCAGCCACATCACATCGCTGACTCATATTCAGCTTGTCATCTGCAGTTTCAAGATCCCTCTCACTTTGCAGTATTGTTAAGCCAACTCTTCCCCATCTTGCACTGATGCATTTATCCCCCCCACCCCACTCCACCCTTAGGTGTATTACATGGCATGTGTCCCTACTGAATTCTGTTGTTCTCAGCCCAGTGCTCCAACCTATTCAGATTACCTTGAATCGCCTTTCTTTCAGGGTATTAGCTATCCCACCCAGTCTGTGTCATCTGCAAATCTGATAACTGTTCCCTCAACTTCCTCATCCAAGTCAATAAGGAAAACGTTGAAGAACACTGGGCCTAAGACTGAACTCCCCAGTACTCCACTTGCTACCTTTCTGCAGTCTGAGAAGGTGCCATTGATGAGCACTCTGAATATGATTCTGTAGCCAACTCTCAACCCACTTGATAGTTGCTCCATCTAGCCCTCTTTTAGCTAATTTGCTAAACAGGATATCTTGGGGCACTTTGTCAAAAGCTTTGCTAAAGTCAAGATTTTTTACATCCACAGCATTTCTAGCATAGAAATGTTGTTGTTGTTGTTGTTGTTGTTGTTGTTGTTGTTGTTGTTGTTGTTATTTCCATAGTCCACCAGGAAAAATGATTACCCAATCAAAAATGGACATACTTCTAGCTTGGAAAAACAAAACACACACTATTACTTCTCTTCTTGCATTTGAACATATTTCCTACAGTTGTCAGTTTTATGAGGATGCTTTAAATACATGATCCACATATCAATGTATATATTTGAAAAATACGTTTTGATTTGCTTTCCTTTTCATTAACTGAGTTGTAAATTATAATTGTTCCTGGTTATGCTTTAGTTCACATTTTTTATCTTCTTTTCTTCTCTGCTGCTGATTTTGTTTTGCATCCTCTTTCTCCTTTATTTCTGTTATAATTGCAAGTTCAAAAATTAAATAGGAAAACATTAAAGATGCCAAGAACCAGAGCCTCCCCTCGCCTGGCAA